CTCGGCACTGCTGTACGATGTTCTTTTCCATCGCTGACAATATCCAAGGCCGTTTACTTGGATTGTATGCCACCTTATGCAATCTTGAACCTAGATGTATGAATCGAAGGTACAGGCATGCACAACGCGAATGTGAGCTATCGTCGAGCCTCTCTTTCTCCATGATCATCGTCACCATTTTCTCTTCCTGCGAGGTTTCTGAAGACAACTGGGGCAGGACTGTGTCACGTCACCTCTTTCAAACTTGCAACACGTGTGCAGAGTCTTCTAGTCTCGTGATGTCTTATAGATTCAGCTGGCTCACCTTGAGTTCGCGAAGCTGGCTGTAGATCCTGCGGTATCCCATGACCTCGCAGCTATGTTTCGGCGGAAGAATCCCAGGTCACAGATCTCATGCTCCAAATCTGGATGCTCCGTCTATATACTCAGCTGAAGGCATTCCTCCGCAGCGACAGCCAATCAAGTGCCTGGCATAGATACAGTCACATGTCAATCCAGACTGCGACGCCCACCGAGTCCCGCATCTACTTGGGAGTTTACAAAGACAGGGGAGCCTAGAATGGTACTCTAAATAGTAGGATCCTTATTATCAGGACCCCAAAATAAGGTACCCCTAATTTTCGGAAACTCCCACTTGGCTCGCGTTTTCGTCAGCTCTGATTCACTGATACAAGTAACGGAGCCTGCAGCCTCGCGTCGCAGCCGACGACTCCAGAACCCAGAAGACCGGTGAGGAGCGTCGCGGCACTGAAGCTATAGGAGGAGGCCTCGGGGGAGGCATCTGCGAAGCAGAGATGACAATCCCACCAGAAGACCAGCATTCATGAGGGTAGTTGTCAAAATTGTGGCCCCTTATTGGGTAACCTCAATATTAGGTGCCGTATCATAATAAGGAGCCCAAAAGGGACCCTAATTTTGACAACCACCCAATGAGTCTCTCAAACTCTCGAGGCCTTATGCTCGGATCCGCTCGAGCCGGTGTACCACCGCAGCAGCGAAACCAAAGAGATCGAACCATCCTCCGTCATGCGTTCTGTTAAGAGCCGACAGAGCCATCCACCCATGATGGGAACACCCCCCTTGCCTTGCGCTGCGGAGTGCTCTCGGTGAGGCTGCCCGGTGCGCAATCCTCGATTGCCTGGAAGCAGAGCCGTGCTCTCACTCTCGCAAAACTGGCAGTCTCCACATAGAAACATCTTAACAGGGAGAGGGAGGTGGACAGAGAGAGAGAAACCCTAAACCCCAAAGACGAGCGCTCAGGCCACAGGCCTGCATCAACTTGGTGGCCTCGTCTCCACGGACACGGCCGTCCAAGTTGGCATCGTGTTGCACAAACACGGCAAACAAGGCCTCCCAAGCTTGGCTTTCAGCTCAGAACAAAAAAAGGTTCAAGATCCCATGGTGACACAGGCGGCAGGCCCTTCGCACTGAATTGTCGTGTCTTACAAAGACAGTTTGCTGCTACCTCAGCTCGACATCCTCACCACCGTTCCACGCATCGCTCGTAAGGGCTGCCGCCGGCCTCTTCGCTTCGATCCAGCTCCATTGTGAGAAGCCGATGGATCTCGGGCGATCGCCGAAGTCAGCATGAGCTACGCTTTGTGTCTTCGTGCGTGGTGCCGTCAAGTTCGCTAAGACCTCTGCGGAGGGCTGATTTCTGCGGTTGAGGTGTTTCAAGAAAACTCCAAGCTTCGACAGACAGAGATGTGTGGTGCTTGGAGGTCGAAGAAGGCTCGAAGTGAAGATGCTTTCAGGATTGGAGGGGGTCAGGTGTGGGAGAAGGTGCGTGCTTGGGATAGGACAGATACGAAAGGACGTGAGCAATGCAAATGCAGGAGGCTTCCAGACACGGACCACGGAGTTTGAAACTGTACAGTCCCCAAAGTGCCGCCGTGCCACTCTCATCGCGAGCCGTCTGAGGTAGTGCAGCTCCCATTCTCGATAGGCCTGCGTCGGCCCCAAACGCAAAACGCAAAAGCAGCCGCATTGGGAGGGGGAAGAGGAGGAGAAGGAGGAGTAGCAGCAGCAACGTGCTGCTGCTGTCGCTGCTGTTGCTGATGTTGTTGCTGCTTTGATCGGTTTTGCTGTTACTGTTGCTGTTGCTGCTGCGGCTGTTGCTGCGTTTGCTTCTGTTGTGGCAGTTGTTACTGTTCACTGTTGCTGCAGTTGTTGCTGCAGGTCCCGGTGCCGGTGCCCGTTGTTGCTGTTGTTGTTGCTGTTGTTGTTGTTGTTGTTGTTGTTGTTGTTGTTGTTGTTGTTGTTGCGTTTGTGGCGGTGGTGACGGCGGGTGTTGTGGTCGTTGTTGTTGCTGTTGTTGCTGCTGATGTTGACCGGTACTAGGGGGACCCCTTCGCGGGGGTGGGGGGGTGGGGGGGTCCCCCCAAATAGGTGGGCCACCTATTTCCGGGTACATGGAATGCTGGGGGGGGGGGTCCGCTCAGATGCAAAGGTGTGAGACGAGTCAGGTCTAGGTTTCTGCTGTCTCTGCTACAGGAACCCTAGAGCCAGCCCTCTGGCAGCCACCTATATTCGTACCGCGATCCTTGACGTAGACACTGGTCGGGTGGACTAGGGAAAGATCCGGATATAGGGGGATTCCAGGGGGAGGACCCTACGGTTTGTGTGGTCTCTGCTACACGAAACCTAGACTTGGCGCCAGGCCCGCCACCTATTTCTCCGTGTGGATTCTACCACCACATTGTACCTACTTCCCTGGCATTCCTCCTACTAGTTATTCACACAGCACACGGCTTCACGCTCGAAACACGGATCTAAGCCCTCCAAACCTACCGATCGCCACCTATTTTCTCAACCCCCCCCCACGGTGGAAAAATAGGTGGCGCGTCCCCAGGAAGAATAGGTGGGAATCCTACTCACGTCCCCCCACCAACCACCTATTCGAATCCTGATAACGCCGATATGACCCGGGGGTTATCGAGGGGCACCTCCGAGAGGTAAACGGCCTCGTCGTCTTCGGGATCCTCACCAAACTCCAAAGCTCTTCCTATTTCGGCTTAGGGGCTTAGGGGTTTAGGGTTTAGGGTTTACTCCAAAGCTCTTCCTATTTCGGCTTTGGGGAATGCGAAGGCGATTGAAATCCTCTTCTGGATGATCCTCTTCGAAGTAGTCTGCACCGTTCTCCTCAGCCATAGCAGTGGGAGCTGCAGTCCCTCTGCCCCGAACGGAGATGAAAGGAGATTCTTCCAGATTTTCTGAGATGCCCATGGGTTGGATTATCAGACTTTGGTGAGACTTCTTGCATGCCGATGGTCCTCCAAGTTCTCGCTGTCCTCGTCGTCACCTAGATCGTTGGAACCGACGCACGAGTCTTCCGCCGCTGGAACACAGAAGGCCTTCATCGCCTTCAAGAAGTGCGTCTTGTTTCCGCACCTCGCGGCTAATATCGGCGCTTTCTGCGCTGGTTCGTACAGCGTTCCAAAGCTGCGCTGTCTGGCAATTGGATCTGCTTAAACAAGTAGACGATGTCGCAGGCTTGCTTTGCACGTGAAAAGGGCTTCTACATTGCCATCCATATTGACATTATGGAGTCGTTATATCTGAAATCCACCCACTGCAGCTGCGGCACCTCCGGGCTTGAAGGGGAGAACAAGGCGTCCTGCGGCAAGCAGTAGCAGCAGATCTCGTGAATACGTTCCGCATTGTTGTAGTCTCGTAAAAGCTGACCCATTTCGAGGAGGGTCACGGACGTGTGTTGGCTTGAACCCTTGTAAGAATGTCCCACCATGTCCCACCCATCACGCGCAGTGTAGAGTTCCCACTCCTGCGCACCCGCCAGCACGGAGGCACGATCCCTCGGAGCCTTGAAGGTGGTGCCAACTGCAGTTTCTTCGTGTGGATTTTACAAAAAACAAACGACAGTTCGATGCGTGGCTGTGAAAGAAACTAAGGGCATCGCGATTTCACTGGCTTCATCTTTGGAGTACACCGAGACCTTGCCATCTCGCCTTGGGTGCCATCAATCAGGGCACTCTTGCATGTGCATTTAGTCATGTATCGTGGCGATCTCAGCTTGGCGCATGAGTCCGGAGCTGTCTTGCCTGAACCACGCAACCGAGAGGCGAGGGGCGTGCTTCGCCACATGTCGAAGGTCTAACGGTCGTGCACTGGAAGCTCAACAAGGAATCACTCCTTTCAATCTGTGGAACGGAAGATAGGCCGAGGCTTTGGCTTGGGCTGAAGCGCTTTGTCTTCAGTCGAAGCAGCAGCAGTCCGCAGCGCGAAACGATTCCACTGCTGCGGGGTTCCAATTGGACGGGTTGACTTGTTTGTGGTAGCCTCACGAACGAATTATCTTGGAAGCTGCTGCGTGTTCGTGAGTTCGTGGTGCATGGGCCAGGTCTCCAAGGCTGCGTCATGATCTGCGGCTGGTACTTAGCGATGATGCAACAATCATAACACGGCAGGGATGCATAGCTAGACTCGCACAGTTTCTGTCAGCCTGGCTGCAAGATAACAGAACACGCAGAACGAAAGAGCTTGGCAGGCGATCGGTGCTTTAGCCAAACGGGGCTGCAATCCACATCATGGTGCCGGACTTGCTCGCTTCATCGGGCCGAATGGCTGCCGATCTGCCAATGTCATCTGCCGCTCCAGTGTGCCATTCCCATAGCCCCGGCTGCCATTCCAGCCTAGATCCGGTGGGACCCATATGGGAGTTTCCGAAAATTAGGGCTACCTTATTTTGGGGTCCGTATAATAAGGATCCTTCTACTTAGGGTACTACATTTGGGTCCCCTATTTTCGGAAACTCCCATATGTGGTACAATGATGATAAGGCCCGCTTTCCATCACTTCCTTGCTGGATTCCTTGCACTCCAAAGAGGGCCTTCTCTGAAACTGACATGGGTGGTTGCCAAAATTAGGATCCCTTTTTGGGTCATCAATATAATACGGCACCTATTATTTAGGGCACCCAAAAAGGGGACCTTATTTTGAGAACCACCCAAATGCAAAAGACTGGAGAGTCAGGGGATCCGGACCCCGGCCCGGAGCGGGAAAGCAATCCGGGCCAGACCTGGCAAGCAACGCACCACGACTTCAGAACCAAAGGGAACCAACTCACAGAATGGAGACTAGCACCACGTCTGTCTTCGGCGGTCCACCCCAGGAATCCCAGAACCCCGCATGTCAGGCAGACATTCCGTCTGTAGATCTCAGAGAAGGCCTCTGCCTCACCAGGACAGACCCAGCTGCCCAGTCTAAGCTTAAAACCTCAAATCATTGACAAGTACCAGCGAACACTCACGTAGCCAATCAGGTCTTGCTTGCTTCAAAAAGCCTCGGTGTGTTTGCGCGCGTGCACGTGCATCTGCAATATCGAACTGCCGGCTGCATCCTGCAGCACTGGCCTTCGACAGGGCCGTTCCAGTGTCCTGTTTTGCAGAAGTGAAGGCTTGCCGACCACATCTTGCCCCGTTCCGACGCCAACTGCCGCCTACACCTGCCAGAAAATCCTCCTGGCTCCAAAGACACCTGGTACCCTCACCCCTCACGCATGCGGGGAGATGCTGCAAGCTCCGGTCCTCTGTTTGGGCTGCCTGTGCTGAATCCGGGCCATTCCTTTGTGCCTGCATCCAGACGAATCCCAGAGACCCCGATATCCCTTAATTCAGGAATATACCCCTAAGGGTTCCGTAAAGGGATCTACATGGTTGCTGTAAGGGAGTATACCTTAATTATAGTAGGATCCCGAATATGGTTTAAGCAATATTCCCTGACTAAGGGATGTTGGAGTCTCTGGGATCCCAGCATTCTGGAAACGTCTGTACACGGAAGTGCACACACTTTCGAAGCAAACGATGGATGTCCAGTATAGATGAGACAACGCACCTCCGCTCCAGCCGGCGCCACAGTGGCAAGATTGAACAATGGCCTTGAGGTTGACATGCTTTGGCTGATCTGAATGTGTACATATATATATACATGCACATATATATATATATATATATATATATATATATGTGCTACCCCGCCTCATGTACCCACGCTTTGTGCTTGAATTGTGCGGGATCGTCGTCGTGGCCCGACAAACCTTTCCAATCATCACTATTCTTGGTTATATGCAAAGTACACTACAGTACTAATATGTTCTTCTATGCCAGCAGCAAGTGTAGTTTCACTGTTACATTTACCAATGATGCTCTTCCTGTGACCACTGTCTTAAATACTATGGTTATACTCACCGTTCTGATTGCTTCAGTAATACCAACCCGGCTGACACTCCTTATTCCCCCCTGTCTTACGATGTCTGAATAGAAACTTTCCTAGGTACACAACCCAGCTAACACTCTTTAGTTCCCCCTGTCATAGTATGTCTGAAAAAGACTTTCCTAGGTACAGTACGCTAGTCCCGCGGCTACTATTCACACTGTTGAGTGTGCGAACCGACGCGTAAAAGTAAATGTATTAGTTCTTGAATCCTATGTTTATTTACATTTTGATAAAGTATAAGCCTACGAGCTACTACTTTTCGATTACTTGCACCTGTGCTTGCACGATTTGCCAACATACACAAACACTCTCACTAGAATTATGGCTTATTTTGCTGACATATTTGCTCTTAGAAGCCAGCTGAAAGAGGCGAAGACCGAAGATAATTCAACATGTTTTGGCTGAGTATTGAACTTTCTACTCCATTCTACTCCACTTTGGTTAAGCTCTATTACAATTGGTACTGCTTAAATGAGTTTGTTGTTCTCGCTGTCTTGTATTGATATCAACTGCAAGCATTACGTGTTTATTTGTTCTGTGTTTAGGCAACCTTTAGCCTATGCATCGTTTGATTCATGTCCATGCTATCGAACTGGGGCTTGTCTGTTCTTACAGCGTCGTTTACAAGTTTCGCACCTAATACATGAGGACCAATAAAGTCTTTCTCGTGTCAGAGTTTTGCGGTGACTGCAGTGGGTAGTGCTCTCTACTGTAAGCAACAGTTAACGATGTACAAAAATGAAAGTGCACCAACCAGAGACACCCCCATGCAAGCATGAAGCACCACAAGTTATACATGTACCTTTAGGAAAGTGTAAGCGAAGCCAATACATGTCCCATCTAACACTACGTAAAGGCTTCAGCCGTAGACAAAAGCAGACGATACGTATAGTCCCGCGCACGGTAAAGGACGAAGACAATCAATGACGTGGTCTTCCTAAAGGATCTAACGTCTTCAGGCAGAGATTCAAGCCCAGTCTTGTACAGCATGAAAAGATTGATCTCATGAACATGTTCGCAAAACATGCAGCAACTTATGTGCATATGTAATCACATCGCAAGAGCACATATGTGTGCCCAACAATTGAATGTGGCCAATCCGTCAAACTATGAAACTAGTGGCTAGGCCGACTATATTTCATCATCATTGTTGCACATGTCAAAAGGGTATTAATGGGAATTAACAGTTCTATCAAGATGAAATTCAGTTTTCCTAGTTGTACGATGCAGCTGGAATGGAATTGCTGTGCTAGTCTACATGTCTATAAGCAATAAAACATAAATGACGGGATGAATCACGGCAATCACGGCTGTATGATAAGGTAAATGTGTTCTGAAAGAGTCAAACACATACAAAGCTTGTGGATGTATTACCTCGCAAAGCACTACCGGTGTTAAGCTTTTGAATTGACCGCGCTATCTGTAGTATCTACACCTGTAGTATCTACAGAGCAGAAAACGACGACTATCCACAGAACAGCGACAGGCTCGAAATACAAAATGCAACGGTCAAACCGCAAGGTTCGGTATTCAAACGTACTCAAAACGTATTCTGTTGAATAAGCCTCGGATCCAAGATTCAAGATTCAAGGTGCAGGGCAAAGTCCTCCCTGGCACCTTGAATCTTGAATCTTGGATCCGAGGCGTATTCAACAGAATACGGTTTGCATACGTTGGAATGCGCCCTATCTTGGTCCGCGGCGAGAGTTTTGTATTTAAAGATAAGGAAGAAACATACGATCTACAGGCACTCCCCCGATCCCATTAACCCGCGCCGTTCTGCAGCTGAGATTTAGGAGAAAGGAATGGGAACAAGGGCATCCCAAGAACCCATCCCTTCCCAAAGCCGAGATTGAGAAGACAGGCGTGGGTACATGGAGGGTGGGGCTAACATATGTGTATATATATATATATATACATACAAAACCCTATGCTAACTATTAAGGCGCCCTATGTTCTTCTGAGATATGCAGCTGTCATGGGCTCTGCGCCGCAACCACGAAAGAGCTCTTGCGCTGGGAAACAGTCTGTGTCGAAATTGGCATGACTGACACTGAAACTGGGGCTTTGGCTTGGCAGCTGAGCCTTTGGCACCTGCTTCTGAGCAATGCGATGTGTACATACTGTCCGAGATGGATGGGAGGGATGGATGGGTAGATAGCTAGATAGTCAGTGAATACGCAGCATCTCAAGTGCCGAGCAATCCTGCCTGCCAGCGTTGTGGGAACCCAGAAGGATTCCCAATAAACCCACGCGCTCCTGCCAAGTGTATCCAAGTGTGTGAGTCCAAGCAAACTGACTCGAGTTTGATGGGTGCTTTTTGTCTGGGGCCGCTTCGCTTGAGGTGTAGGCCTGGAACAAACAGGGGCGTCCTGTCAAACTCCTTGCGCTGGTAGAGGTCGGCAAGAGGGCCAACCCTTGCCCCTATCCTGACACGGCCACGGCATGATGGATTCTATATGCTGTATACTGTACTACACACATATATACATACACAGTTTACTTATACATCTATATATACATATATTCACTTTATAAAATTATGTATATATGCATATATATATATATATATATATATATATATATATATATACATATGCTGTGTATATATATATATATATATAGATATACATATATATATATATATATATATCACTGATCGCATCTGCTCCCAATATGAGGGCCTCCCGGGGCTCAAGGAGTCGCCGGCGCGGACCTGCGAAACCTTGGGGGCCAAACGGTAGGTTTTTTCGAAAATTACGGGGTACCTAAGGGTTCCCTTAAAGCATTGCTATAAGGGTTCGCTTAAAGGGTCACTAAAAGGGTACCTTAGGGGTTACTAACAGGGATTCCCTAAAAGGGTTACTTAAGGGTACTATAAGGGTTCCTTTAGAGGGCTGGTTTGGAGTTTCTGAAAATTGGGGTTACCTTATTTTGGGGTCCCTTTCTTAAGGTTCCTACTATTTCGTGTACTATATGAAGGTCCCCTATTTTCGAAAACTCCTAATTACTTGTAAACGAAGCCGCAGGATGCTCCAGTTCGAAGCCTCAAAAGGTGGGATGAAGGTAAATATAATATAATACACACTATAACACATACTATCATATATTATAACATGGCAGGATTCCTTCATCCTACCTTTTGAGGCCCCTGATGCAAAGAGCTCGCAAACTCTGGTGCCCCATGCGGCACTCGGTCGACATTCCTTCGGCTACAAGTGTCCCATATCTGCGCATGCACAATGCTGGGTCGCATGCATGGAAAGGAGACGACTCACCAGGCTGCCTGGCATAAGCCGATTCGGGAGACAGCCCCTCCCCCATGTTCTCTGTCTGTGTGTGTGTATGTATGTTGATAATAGCAACGTGTAGACTCGCTTTAATGTATGCACACATACATGTCCATACGTTATACAATTACCATATATCGTCCACCCGATATCGACCGATGCGACGAGCAGAGGAATCAGAGCAGAGCGTTCACAACTCGTCTTGTGCCTCCAAGGACGATGGACGCTCCGGGGAGCCACAAGCATTTCAAGAATTTCATCATGGGGCCGGCGTGGCAGTGTTGAAACGAGATCTTGCAAAAACCATAGTATATCTAATTGTCTGCAGTAGCTAGAAGCAGCTGTGGCCTACAGCACTGTGTCTATTGATCAGCCATGCCTGTAACCGGCACCGACAACATCTCCCAGCTGCCGCCACACAGCCACCTGCAACCAAACTTGGCATTTGCTTCAGCAAGTATCACAACCACGAAACTGCCGTCTGTATGCAGCCTGGTAACGAAAACCAAGTGAAGAAGCTGAAGTTACACAGCTGACACAGAAGGAGTTATGCGTGGTCACATGTTTTACGAGACTCTTACAAGTAGTACGCGCCACCACACCACGAAAATGGAAGCTGCCTTAAAAGTCTGATGGCTGCCAATCTGTCGTTGCCATGCAGCCCTCAGGGTCTTTCTTGGATGGGAAGAATGGGATGGCCCCTCCCAGTGGGAGCACACATGCTACAACCGTCGCAACAATGAAATGCATAGACTGTATAAGGACCGATGCATGGAGAAGAGAGCTCGACGAGAAGAAGCTTCCTGTCCGCGCTGTAGTTCGGCAGGAGGCCTGGATGGTGTCCTCGTGGGGAGCGGTGAAAGCATAGAACTCCACACCCTGGCAGGCGTCAGTTCGGTTGTGCTCTTTCTGCTGTCTTCTGGTCCAAAACTATCCTCTCCATCATCATCATCATCGTCATCGTCACCATCATCATCTCCATCACTGCAGCTGCTACGGTCCTCGTCGGCATCATCATCATCAGCAGCACTGAAACAGTAGCAGCTGCAGCAGCAGCGGCAGTATCAGCAGTAGTAGTAGACATTGTGACAATATTCGCGATGGCAGTGGGTAACTGAAATGATAATTCTAGTGACTTTGCCAGCAGTTGCTGCAATCGGAGCACACACGCATATACACACGCACACACACAAGCCACACTCGGAGGCATGAAGCAGCATGTCGGTAGCCAGGCCGGCGCGCCCGCAATTTCACCATGCGAGTGCCAGCAAGAGGGCGAGTGTATCCAGCGAAGACGAAACAGCCAGGCTGCCTGCCAAGCGATGTGCATGAAAGCAAGTCTTCAAGCTGACAGACAAACCATTTGCAGATGATCCCAGATGCACTTCTTGAGGAAGTGCCGGGAAGGCTTCGTCGAGCTCACCCAGCCTCGCTACCGACCGGTGCAGCACCTGCACTCAGGCTGAATCCAGAAGAGAAGTGCCTGGAGGACACTGCTCAGCGAGTCTGAGGTACCTCCAGCGTGCAGCCGTCAGGCCCGCCCCTCACGTGGACCACTAGCACCTCAGCAACAACATCCACCCAAGGACGAAGCTTCTGCTGACTGCCGCAAGTACCAACGTTCAAAAACCACCAGCCGATCATTGCAAGGCAGCCTATAGACAGCCCAGGGCCCAGCTGGGTGTCGCAAAGACCGCCTGGCCACAAAGTAATAACAAGAATCATCATCATAACAACAGGGTTGTCAATAGTAGCAGAAATCATGATAGTAGTGCGTTGGCCATGTCTCTGCTTCGGTCGGAAGAAGCTTTGGCTGCGGAAGGCCACATTTTTGCATCAGCTCTTCTCGTCGGGCTTCATGCGTCTCAGCTCAGTTGCTTGCGGCCTTCCTCGGAAGTTCACAAACCTGGGCTCGCCGAGTCAAGATGAGCGCTCTTGCCCCAAAGTACCGGACCACAAGGACCACGAGCATGCAGATAACTGGAAGCATGCGGCTTTGTTCTTCGAGACTTCAGAACATGGGATCTCTGCTATGGCAGTGGCAAGCTTGGCTTATGAAGGTGGCTCCAGGTTGGCAAACAAGCGGCACTGCAAAGGTGACCTCATCACCTTTCTTGAAGTGCCTGCTCCGACAGCGTCATAACGGTCTCCGAAACACTGGCTCGGCAAGCCCGGGCTCAGGTGTGAGTGCCCTGCCTTCTCTGGCTGTCGTGCAGGAACACGCCATCTTGGCCCGGAAACTTGAGCCGGACCTCGCAACAGGAGTGCAAAAGTGAATCCGCCATTTCTGTCAATCAGCCTCAAATGCTCAGCTGCCCGCCTCCTCACATTCAATTAAACCATGGCCCTTCGAGTCCCACCACAATCGGATCTTGCCTGCACAAGGGCTGCAGATGAGTCCCGCATCGCTGGCATTTAGAAAAATTCTAATCCCGCAGCCGTGCTGCAAAGTGCAAAGAGTCTACTGCTACTTGCTGCGATCTCGATAGCTTGTTGCCATGTAAAACAAGCAGATGACACATGCCAGCAGCCCGAATGTAGTAAAACGTAATCAGTCAGGCTTCAAGTTAACCTGGCACGAAGTTGTTACAAGGAAGTGGGCCGCGGCGGACATGTCACTGGGTAACTCGGCGCAATTGGCGAAAAGACGGGCGATGAGTTAGCAAGCAAGACAACCGAGTGAAAAGCGTAGCATGGAGTGTGACCATGGACCCAACCTGTTGTTCCTCTCACGACCTCCTTGCATTCCGAAGCTGTGTGTACCTTTCACATAACTCTAACCTTCGGCCAACCAATGTCGAACTCGGAGCTGTCGCATGATAAGCGAATATTGCAGCGGTACGAATTTTTCGTCGGACTAAGGTCGAGATATGAGGCGAACTACCTCCGATGCATGAACCGGTTGCGTAAACCCTAATTACACCCGAAACCAGAAGCTCCTGAGTTCGCCAAAAACTGGCGATGAAAACACGAACCCCACAATAGCTGCTGATTCATTAACCCTGGTGACATAGGTGCCAACTCTACCCCATCGACACCTCCGTGAAACGGGAACCCTCCCGAAAAGCGCTCGGAAATGAACACGAAGTCCATCCGGGCCTTCGAACCGTTTGTCGGTGACCCCCGGAATCCTCAGCTGTGGAAGCACTGTGCGGCTATAGCCGAATGTATCCTGCCGCACGCGCAGTTTGCAGCCTGCAGTCGAAGGAACGCACACTCACCGATGCCTAATCATCACTGGACTCGAAAGCGGGAGGCAAGCGTCTGGTCCGCATCCGGAGGGCGGTAGTTTGGGTGGCCGACTGTCGACGAGGGGCCTCGTAGATCAGAGGGATTCACAGGGTGACATCGTGGGGATACCCTCGCAGATGGGCTGATGATCTAAAGCATGTGCTCGGTGCGTGCATCTCAGAACGGTCCAACCCTGATTCTTGACATCCACCCGTCAGCATGAAATCTCCAACAGCTACACATGCTCAGGCCTGGAGGGACGTCGACCTCCTGCGCTACGACGGTCAACAGGCATAGGTGAGTGATGCTTGGGCGAGCGTGTGAACGCGCGAGCTGCCGAATTCATGTACGTGCTGCCCCTAACGCTTGTGGCACAGCAGATCTCCAGTAAATCCCCTAAGTCCTCAGCCCTGCATGTACAGATCATCGTGGCGTGGCTCATGCGGCTCCTCTTCCTCCTCCTCGGCCTGCGCCCCCGTGGCCATCATGGCCATGGGATCGAAACTGGGCACCGATGGCACTCCAGGCACCCCGGGCACTGCAGGCACACCGCCGGCGCCCATCATGTTGAACCTCACAGCCACATAAAGAACTCTAAGCGCTCGGCTCTTGATTTTTCTTTATCTAAGGGATGTCTGGGGCTGCGGTTGCAGTTGAGTGGGTAATGTATCGAAGTGTGCTGACAAGACAATATGCAATGCATGCTGCAGGTGCGTGTGGTGACTTCGGGACACCCTGAACCCTGCCCAGTGCTAGCCACGAAGCATGTTGCCCATCATCATCCCCATGCCGACCATCCTCAGCAAAGCACTACTCACCTACCTTGGAGCACGCATGACTTGCACCTTTCTGCATCGCGAGGCACTGCTGCATCTGCTGCATTTGCATCATTTGCATCTGCTGCATCTGCAGCATCGGATTCACCATACACGGTCCCGTCGGGCAGGGGCCCATGCCTCAGCAGGAAATACCACTACTCTTTGAATCTAATGTAGATGCGGACGGCGGCTACAGTCTCCTCAGGGTCTATGGTGGACTGAGGTTTCTTGGAGGTTCAGGAATAGCTATAAGTGGGGTTATACCCGAATACAAACTGACGGTCGCGATACTGCTGAAAATTGATCGCCATTGACTGTTGATGAAATGTAGGAAGATTAAACGCTTTTCGTAAATGATAAAATGCTTCTGTGATGGATTTACAGGGATATCAGGCATCAGTTTAGAACCCAGTTGAATTTGAAACTCTAAGTCTTTATTAGCATCATACATGCCTTGGTCTAATGCGTCGTGCGATTGGTGGGGATGATAAAACCTGAAAAATTCTTTGTCCGCATATTCATAACCCTCGCTTGGGTCTCCCTGCTTGAAACTTGTAAAGAATGTAGCACCTAATTTAGATACAGAGCCAATTGCTTGAACATTAATATCTGTTAATCCTTTTACTGTTTGCGATTGAGTAATATGAGTTGTATAAGTAATTGGTAGTCCCTTTCCTTGTAAAAGATGCTGAACATATTCATTGTGCAAATATTGTTATCAAGGGTGCAAACATCACAGACAATGCGAGCGTTAGATATTTCCCAGTCTATTGATGTATTTGTTCCTTTTCCTACATCGCCTGCTACTGCTACTGTAAAACGATTTCGTAGGTCAGTTGTAATGCCTGTGTCGCTTTCATCATAATTGTTAGGGTCAATAATACAATCAACAGCAGAATTAACCAGCTCCAATTCAATAGTCAAATTACCCATATACTTTAATGGAAGATACTTAAATTGAGAAAACCTGCCCGCCAATGGTTTAAAACAAACAGTCATTTCATTATAAAAGCCCTGACAATCTTCAGCATTAACTTCATAGACCAATGCCGTGCTTCCAGCGTTATTTACTAATGTATTTAATGCGTCATCATATCTATATCCAAAACCTTCGCTCGCTTCGTCTTTTCGTGCTCCTGGAGACATTAATTTAGAAAACATATGATGAACTCGATTAGAATTATCAAAATCTTCTACTACTTGATTACCAGCAATAATTCGCATTCTTCGGAAGAAAGAATACGGTGGTGATAGAGGACGAAGCTTTCTAAAACTAGTGCCGTCTTTGTTATTCAATGAAAAAAATTCTCGGACTGATTGAGGGTCTAACCAACGAGCCTGAAATCCGCCGAAGAGGAGGATGTTCGCGCAGGCCGCTTGCTTCATAGCGGGCGGGGCAATCTAGAGCCCAACCTAAACCCCTAAATTGAATAAGAACCCCCTCGCCTACTCTGGGCTATGGCACCGAGGTAGATAGGAGTATTGAGAAACAGTCCTTCCTAAGATTGTAATTCTAAAATCGGGGCGGGTGGTGCCCTGTACCCAAACTGGGCGAAGGGGGTCCTAACTCTTTCTACCCTACTTATAGCTACCCATGAACCTCCAAATCAGCCAGCATGCAAGGCCCGCAGGGCGGACACGGCGCCACCGGACTGCCCGGCAGCCCGAGACCGGCAGGCGTGCCATTTGAAGGTAGGGCAGGTGGCGCAGGGACGCCGGCGCATGGGGCCACCGCCTCATGGAGTCAGTAGTTTAAACGACATGACATGCTATGAACACCGCCTGGTGTGCTCCGGCCTCAACACTTTCTGCTGCATCGCTTGCGAAGACCTTGGGTAGATTCAGATTCCTAACTCCAAGTTAGGCATAGACTCTTAGGGAGTCCGAGCCTCCGCATTGCCCTTGCCACTACCTGAGCCACAGGTTCGGTTGACTTACTGAGGTGCTTAGATATGTGTAGGGGAGCAGCTACGCCAAACTGCAAGGGTTGACACTTGAGTTCGCTCCGCATGGTCAAGGCTCTACTCGGCTTGAAACGCCATGCTCGACATCGTGAGAAATACCGCGATGGAAATGCGCTCATGTCGCACTTCGAGTCTGGATGCTGCTACATGCTGCATAGATGTACATGCCGGTGCCTTGCGGACTTCTGCTGCGCTCGCGGCCATTGCTCCCAGAGCCACAAGCTCCGTTCCTGCGATACGAGCTGGTTCCATAAGACACAGATTGGAAGCTGTTCATAAGGGACCGAGCACAGTTGGGTCGGAGTTCACTGGGATCTTTTCGGTCTGGACACCAGATCTGCGAGGGACCTACCTGAAACTTTTCGTGAGGAGTTCGTGCCTGGCTGTGCCTGGATCCGTGGCCATCGCTTCGGCGGCAGCGATGCAGGAAGTGCAACTATGAAACTGCATGGTAGTCCTAGTACTGCTCACGCCGGTTTTTGCGGCACAGCAAAAAATGGATCCCTATACTCTATACTGGGAATCGGGTATCATGTGTGCTTCATTCATATCCGCAGGGCAGGCACAAGAATATCACTTTTTGCCACTGCCTACGGCTGCGGATCTTTCGCGATCCAGTTAACATATGTTAACATGCTTGTTTAAGGCTATTATATCTAGTAAGTATGCTGGCCTCTTTCATCACAACCGTTGCCGGCTATCCAGTAGGTAAGCTTGAGACCGGGGAGAGAAAGCCTGTTTTGCCCCGCCACTGTAGATACATCATCACGCACACGGCACTGCCGCACAGCACCTGGCTTCGTTCATCTCCGTTCCCTCCTGCCTCTCACGTCGCCACCCTTCGCGACGCCCGGTGCAACAGGAACACGGGCCAAGGCGGCCTAGCGAGGAGCATTCAACTCCAAGCCATAGGTGACCAAAGATCCAAAGCTTGTCTGGAATGTGCTGTGAGGCTGACACCTCGAGGGGCACGCTGATGGCCGCCACGGCTGGGAAGCCTTGGGTCCAGGAAAGACTCCAAGAAGAACAAGCCACGGAGTCTTGTTGCGAGCGCTCAAGCTGTCAAGGACTGCTCGAAACGAGATACAGATCAAGCAAACTGGCAACATGATACCAACTACTGCACACCCCTCTCGCCTCCCCACCCCACCCCACGGCCCAAGGAACACTCCATCGCAAATCCGCCTGTCAATCCTAAAAAGAATCTGGCGAGCACCTCAGTAAGGCGTTGACATGCTCACCGCGGCTCATTCGCATGTCGAAACAGGGTCAGCATGTTGACATGAAGGCGAATCGTGCTCGAATTTCTGAACTTGACGGGAGTTGATTGCTGGCTAAAGGTTGTGTAAGTCTATCCGCACACGGCCTTCAAACATCTGGACTTGTCAGCGTTGTCCTGCTCTATGGGGTTGTTTTCAGCAGCAACGAAACTTCCGGCTCTACCGAGTCATGCGAACGTCGTCCCGATATGCTACTCGCCTGATGGCTATACGGAACCGAAATGCAACCTCACGGCGATCCAACCCTAAACCCCTCAACCCCTCAACCATGTCCCCCAGACCCCTGACAGTACGGACCAAGTTTCGGCATGCGACCCATGCAAGTGCGATGCAGCGCAAAACCCTCAGCGCAACGAGCTGGGAATGGAATCCAAGGACGGCTCTTTTCCTCCATGTCTTTGCATGTCTAGCCGCAGACTGTCTGAGCTGCGCGATGTTTTGCGCAGCTGCTCGACATGTCTCCGTGCGACACTAAAGCACTGAAGGCCCTTGCCACGTAGCTTTCATGCTTACCCTCTTGTGCCCTGAAGCCCCAGGACTTGGCCTTCCCTCAACCCTATAAGGAATTATATTTGTACTCATACTATAGGCTTCTGTAGCATAATGATAGTATGATATACCCCAAATACTCCCAAAACCCTCTCAAAACCCTAAACTCTAAACACTAAATTCAGGACGTAGCCCTCCCTTAGACCTATAACTATGGCACAATATACCCCAAATACCCCAAAAAAATCCTCTCAGAACCCTAAACTCTAAACCCTAAACCCGAATAGACCCCCAAAATACCACCCCCAAAAAAAACCTCTCAGAACCCTAAACCCTAAACTCTAAACCCTAAACCGGAATAGACCCCCAAATAGCACCCGCCCACAAAAAAAAACCTCTCAGACCGGTGCGTGGCTGGCGGCCTCAGACTCGAATTGGGTTTCTTCCCATTGCCGCGCTGCCGAAGCTCCGGAGTCCCAACCTGGGCGGGGCTTAGGGGAGGGTTTAGGGGGTGTTTAGGGGGGGTTTGGGGGGTTTGGGGGGGTTTAGGGGGGTTTGGGGGGGTTTAGGGGGGTTAGGGGGGTTTAAGGGGGGTTTAGGGGGGTTTAGGATCATGGGACTGAGTAACTAACGTTATCATACTTTGACCTGCTTATAACCCCAAATTAGGGTACTTATAACCATACTTATAATCCTCCAAGTAGGGTGCCGGGTTTAGGGCGCCTAGAAAAAGGGGATGTCATCTTTGAGACATTACGGTTTAGGGCCAGTTTAGGGTTTAGGGAGGTTTGGGGTTTAGGGTTTGGGGAGGTAAAGCTTCCAGGGATTTTGTTCTTGCGTACTGTAACTTCGAGAGATGGCTCGCAACTGATGGTACCGTGGTATTTCCGGCACATTGGAACCACGATGCTGGGGATCGGGTACTTGCCTTTCGAAGTTTGGGGGCCAATCTGGGGTAGAGGTAAACCAAAACCGTTACAGCACCTCACCCCTGAAGCTCGCAAAAAGCCATGTTAAGAGCGTCTTGCTGAAACGCAATCACACTTTTGGCATCTTGAGACTCTCAGGTGCCATGGCCCGGGCTGTGGAGCTTCAGCCAGGTCTTGTGTTCTTTCAAATATCGCTTCACCTTAGAACAGAAAGCAAGAAGCTGCTCCTCTTTGGACTGTTGTCGGCTTTTCCTCTTGGGCCAGGACGTCCAACAGTGTCCAGTCGGGAGGGTGACTGTGACCCATGGCCGACGACTCGTCTTTCGATCGCAACGCCTGACCAGCTGCATACGCCTTCAACTCTGCCCAAGATCTGCGCAGAGCTTGAGGAATGACTGTCTTCGAGGACCTTCTGGGATATCAACATAACGAAATTCTTTGGCTTAGTGGTAAGTGAAGCTACAGATGGCATGTCCAGAATTTACAAAACTAAACATGCCTACCAGTGTGTGCAATGCATGTACATATATATATATATATATATATATGTATATATATGTGTGTGTGTGTGTGTATGTGTATGCATATATCGGCATATATCTATATATATATACATACACACATACATACATGCATGCATACATACATACATACATATGTACATATATGTGTGTGCGTAAAGCTGAGTGTGCGCACATCCATTCAGCCATATCGCTCCGTCCGTCCGTCCGTCCCTCCCTCCCTCCATCCAAGCACCCATACACACTTACTTACATGCCCACATGCACAAAGACAGACATGAGTTATATGGAAGCAACTTGAGTCTCTGGAGAGACTCGGCGCCGGCCTTGGCGAAGGTGTTGTAAATTCTTTCTTCCTCTGGATCGAAGGACATGGTTCGATGACCTGGGCAGCTGCACAAGTCTGCGCGCTGGCCTGCATCTGGTTCAGGGTTTGGGGCTTAGGGCAGACGGCTTTATCCAAATGCAACTAGTCAGCTAATGCTTCCTGATTGGTATTTCCTGCAGGGCCTGTAGTTGGCAATCGCATGCTCTGATGCCAAGATGCTCCAAGCCAGGCACAGCAGCACGAGCGCTACGGAATCAGTGTTCAGCGTGTGCTCTGCCACCGTCTCCTGTCAGCGTATCAAAACGTCAGCCATGCTTGTCCTTGGTGCGCTCACACATCTCTCCACCCATACGCCATGATAAGCATTCGTACTTGTGTTATAAGCTGTAGCTGTTGTCATATTCGCCTGAATCGCTGTGTGTGTGTGTGTGTGCGATGCGATGCGGCCTGCTTGGTGCAAAACAAAACGACAAACAAGACCTACGGAGGCTTGTGGTCTGGCAAGGTAATAAGCTCAGGTAGGGCCCGACGTCGTGGCGAGATGGGGAAGGGCTTCCATCGATGGTCATGCAGCAGAGTTGCCGTACCGGTTGCCTCGTTGTGACCGACAGCACGTCTAAACTTACAACTCTCTCGACTGTTCTGCTCAACGACTTGGTACAATCCTGGCGTGCTCACACACACACACACACACCCACGCACGCATGCACGCACGCACGCACGCACGCACGCACGAGCTGCACTCAAGCCGTGCACACGTAGGCTTGCTGCAGAAAGCAGGCTTGCGATGGACCTCCTAAGTACCGTTCAACTTCAGCGATGTGACGAGGTGCTTGGCAAACTTGTTGCCGGTGCTCGCAGACCGTACGGCAAACACATGCAATCAGGTTTGCTGCAACTTCGAGTCTCTTGACTCAGAACATGATGGCTTGCTCACCCGTCTACCCCTTCAAGCCTTCGGAGACATGCGCCCCCTCCTCTGCCCAGAACCCCAACCAATTCGTCGTCGTATGTTCTCTGAACCTGTACCTGTGCCTTTATGTGGAGACTTATCTTGCAAGGTCTGAAAACTGGACTGCATCAGCGTCCTGGTCGACATCCCCGTGCAAACCGGCCTTCTCCTGCCGACAGGTAATACGCACTTCAGCATGCAAGACTTAAGTGATAGGGACCCTTAGGAGGGGTAGGGGGCTTTATTTAAGGAGCCCCCTCCCCCGTACCCCCCCTTCAAGGGTCCCTATGATTAAAGATCAGCCTGGTGCTCTGAAAACATCCCTGTACCCCATCTGGCCCTTTCTTCGTCGACAGGAACCAGGAACACTGATCTCCCCAGAGAGCCCAAGACCCCTTAACTAAGGAATATGGCTTAAATTATATAGGGCTTCATATTATGATTTAAGCTATCTTCCTTAATTAAGGGGTATTGGGCTCTCTGGGTCGCTTCGGCAGAGCTGACCCAAGGTCCTCGATAGTGCTTCTGTCCAGCTGAATCTGGGCGTAGACACCAAGTAGACCGTCCGCCACTCAAAACTATGTATCTATGATCTGTCGGTGTTTGCGTAACAAGGAGCATACGAACAATACGAATAGGACTAACATTACTGATGATAAGAATAATAACAATACAAATGATAAAAACAATAACGAAAAACTTACTATTAGAAACAGTAATACGACGACTACTACGACTATGACGAGTATGACGACCACCACGACTACTACGGCTGTGACGATGTACTACGACTATGATACGGCCACGACTATGACCATCACGACGACGACTACGACCATGACGACTGTGACTACTACGACTACGACTACGACCACTACTTACTGCCAGACTGTCTCTTCTCCACCACTCAAGGCAGATCGCAAGAAGACGACCGGATATCGTCCCGTTTCCCCGAAGACAGCCGAGCTCCTGGCACCGAGGAAAGGACGGCGGTGATCCTGGCCAGCGGCTGGCTTAGCGTTTACAGCTTAGAGCTGTGAATGCTGGCTGCTGGCGGACACCTCACCGGAGTCGACAATCTTTTGCTTCGCCGTGCCGACGTTCTGGCCCTCGTACGACAACCTTGCCGTTTCGAAGTACTCGACACTGCAAGTCAAGGAGGCTGGGGCGAGACGGTAAGGGAGTAGTCCCTCGGAGGGCAAAAGTGGGGCACAACGGTACATCACGTCTACTGTGATTTCTCTTTCTTGCACGGCAGATTCAGCGGGCTTTTATCGTAAGTGGCAGTTGGAATGCATAGCTGCGCAAGTGGACTCTGCGGTCATGCCTTCCAGCAGCTACCAGCTGGCAAGATCGAATGCATGCCTTGCTGTCAGAATTGGGCTCGAGCTTGATCTCGCACAAAGCACCAGGACTGCTTTGCCTGAGGCACTCACTGCACGAGAGCAGGGTACTTCATGCGACAAATCATACTACGTCAATGTACTTGGCTTCGAAACATACATCGCCACTCGAGTCTGAGATTCTAGATTTGCAATGCCCGACGTCACAAGAAGGCACCATCGCCGGGAAAAAGTAAGTGTCAGGCATGGTCTTTTTGTTCCAGATCGAGAGCGCGGGGTTGTCAGTGCTGATGGTTTGAACCCACCTGCGAAAGACATGGTCCCGAGCATCTGAAAGTCCGGAGAGGAACGCCAAAAGCTGGAAGCTTTTGTAACCCTAAACCCTGACCTCTCGCTCTTGCTGTCCAGGTTCTCGTTCTCCTCACCCTCATCAAAGTCGATCTTCGCCTGGGCGAAAGCGGCCGCGCTCCGGAGTGGCGGCCCGGAACTGCGGAGTTTTTTGGTTGGCGGCCTGGGTGGCAATCGCGACGTGCATCACGAAGGAATCGGAATCCTTGGAGCTGTAACACTCAGCCCTGGCTTGATCCAGACCTCGACAAGGGCCACCCACTGGGGTCTGAAGGAGCTCAGAGCTCGGCAGAGGGCAGCACCCGTCGCTTTCGCTTATCCCTGGCAGCACGAACTGTGAGGAAGCATCGTCTGAGCCTAGACCGTCTAAACCAAAGAAACTAAGACTAAGAATTGGCACAGACCCTTTGGCTTACTGTACTCACACACTGGAGAGCCTCGAAATATCGTCTATTCTAACTCGCAGCCGTAAGCAATGCGAGTTGACAGTCGATGAAGCACCCACTGATTCCGAGAATCGGGCGTCCACTGCAAACCGTTGCATACCATCTTCCACAACTGGATGCTGAGAAACCTTCACATTGCAAAGGAGCTTGCTTGCAGACAATGAGCTATGCCGTCAGCCCCTTGCACAGTCTATCTTGCAATCGTCGTGGACGCTACCGATGGTGAGCACCAGCTGGACACAACTGGATCCTAGGCCCCGAAACTCAGGATCGTACTCACCGGACTTCGCGCGGACGACGGTATCAAGCTTTTCCATGCGACCTTGTGCGACAGATTCTTGCTGTGATCATGTTCGTTCTGCTGTTGGGATGGAGGTTTGTCAAGGGTGCCATGCAGCCCAACCCTGAGTCATCGTTCACATAGACTTCTTTTATCCTCAAGCCAGGAAAAGGTCACCAAAGTAATTAACCACATGTGCCACATGCACTGCAGACGCACTGGAAAAGAACGTAGTTCAGTAGCTCTCTAGCTGCAAAATCGTGCTCGCCGCTGCAATGCAGTTGCAGACGACCAGCTAGGCCCAAGGTCCACACCCACGACCGCTGGTCGCGGCATGGTCTTGTTCCTGATTTCCATAACGAAGCGTGGAACCTGCGGCGTCAACGGACAAACTGTCAAGCTCTTGCTTTGCAGACCCTGTCTAAATTGCCACGAACTGCTATGCAACGGATTCGCGCGACTTCGACGCTTCAGGAACCTTACGTGTTGTAAATATCTCACCAACACTGATCACAACCGTCATATCGGGCTGACACCGCAATGGAGTGGATCCAGGATCATGAGACTTAAACTTAGGGTTAGTTGCAAACTCCATTGCTTACAACCCCGGTTAAGGTACGTATAACCTTACATACTCCTGATCCTGCACGGGCGACCTTATTGTGCGAAGTAGCTGCAAGCGACTGCCACTAGAAACTGTCGTACCAGTAAATGCAGGAGACGTCGTCGTAGTAGCCGCAGCAGCAAAGGGCAGCAATAAGCAGCAGCAGCAGCAGCAGTCAGTCGGGATAAGAGTTGTGGCAGCGGCGGTGGTGGGCACTGGCCGTCGTAGTGGTAGCGATAGTGATAGTGGCAGTGGTCGTCGTAGTGGTTGTAGTCGTGGTTATAGTAGTGGTAGGAGTGGTAGCAGTAGCAGTAGGAAGAGTCGTCGTCGTCGTAGTAGCAGTAGTAGTAGCAGCAGAAGTGGCAGTGGCCGTGGCAATCATTGCTAAAAGCTCGTCGTCCGGTGCACACTCCCTTCCGCAAGCTCGAAGATGCTTGTGGACCCTTCCGCGCACTTTTCTTCATGCAGCCCCTTACGCTGGCTACCTCTCCGAGAGTTGTCTCATGATCGTGAGCCTTTCGTCTCGGAATCGAGTTATGAACAATAACAGTTTCCGACTTCAGTGATACGCACACACGACCAAGCACACCGTGACCGAAACCCCCCACCCCCCTCCGCCTCTCTGGGTGCTGTGTGGTTGCATTTGTGCCTTCTGCCCGTGGGTGTGGGTCGAACTCAATCCCCCTCCCCGCATGGGCTCAATCTCTTTACGTTGCTTCGGATGGGTTTGGGCGTGCTTTCGGTGGGGCTGCGACCGTCCCGTGTAAGCGTGAACGGATTTCGGTTCAATCTCGCCTTGCCATTTTGTCGGCTCTTGCTGATGTGGGATTTTCCGAAAATTAGGGGTACCTTATTTTGGGGGTCCTTATTAAGGATCCTACTATTTAGAGTACTATATTAGAGTCCCCTATTTTCGGAAACTCCCATGTATTGGGTTTGGATCTGATCAATACTGGCTCCTCCCTGTGGGTGCGGGCACCGGGCGCAATGGGATGGTTTGGCAAATGAAAATAGGGGACCCTAATAAGAAACTCCAAATAGTAGGATCCTTATTATAAGGACCCCATAATATGGTACCCCTAATTTTCGGAAACTCCTATTTGGATAACCATAAGAAGGGAAACCATGTCGGAGAGAGCTGAGGCAGCAGCATAAGGGCTGTAGGAGACACCTGACACATCCAGAGCATCCACAATCGCTGGACAATCAAATGCTGGCGTTGCTGCGTACATCATGAAATGTGGCCCACAGGCGGTAACTCTGTCTGATGGACGTAACCGAACCCCTAAACCCTAAACCCTAAACCCTATCATCAACACAGGTCGGTCCTCTGTCCTACGGTCCGGGGAGCAAGGCTCACGACCTCATCATACTTGGAGGTTCATGGGTAGTTATAAGTAGGGTTATAAGTCCCCGAATATGGGTTATAAGTATAGTTACCCTACTTATAACCCTACTTATAACTACCCCTGAAGCTCCAAGTAGACTTGCCTTTCTGAGCCCGGCACTTCTGAGGACCGTGTACTGCAACTCAGATCATGCGCCAGGCGCGGGCCGCTTTCTCAAGGCTTGGGCAGATCTATCCGGGCATGGATCTGGGAGTTTCCAGGAGCTTTGCGGCGCGCTGCTTCTTTAGAGCGCGCCCGGGCCGCGAACCCCCATGCAATCCGAAAATTGGGGGTACCATATTTTGGGGTCCTTATAATAAGGATCCTACTATTTAGGGTACTTTATTACGGTCCCTATTCGCGGAAGCTCCCATATGACGGATATGATCAGCAAGAGATCAAGAAACTTTTCTGCGGCCTCCCGGACGAGGCCCTGACGGAGCCTCCGCGATGATCGCCCTCCACGTAGTTGCGGACATTGCAACCAGCAACCTGGCCATGCATGTGAGTAGCTGTTTGGGTTATGATCACGTTTGGGGTCTCCGACGGAGTGCATCAATCATAGAATCAGGACTCCAGAAGGGAGAACCCCATAAACTCTAAGCCCTAAACCCCTAAACCCGAAACCCTAAGCCCGAAACCCCCAAACCCTAAACTCTCACCTCCGGGCAGCACAGGAGCTCCAGCCAGCCAAGGTACAGCCTCGCAAGAAATCGCGCAGACTGAACGGGCACCCTTCCTGTAATGCGCCGGAAATATAGGGGCTTAAATAATTACCAATACTATTCTTGGGGGTTCCTTATTGTAACTATAGTATAATGGGCCCCAAAAGCCTATTCTAATTACTAAGGCCCCTACATAAAGCCGTTACAGGAACCCTAACTATAGATCCCTTTAAAGGAACCCTTTTTTTGGAACGCTAGTCTGATTATTAAGGCCCTATAGAAATGTCTTCCGAAACTCAATCTGTCCGAAAGACGCTCAGAAGGATGTGGCATCAGCCCAGAGACTCCAATATCCCTTAATTAAGGAATATACCCCTGAGGGTTCCTTAAAGGGTTCCTTTAAAGGGATCTGTAAGGAATCTATAGGGATCTATAAGGGATCTATAGGGTTCAGGAGACTCCAATATCCCTTACTTAAGGGATGGTCGGATCCCTAATATGATTTAAGGTCTACTCCTTGATTCAGGTTTTTGTTGTCTCTGAGAGGCATACGAACCAAAAACGCATTCCATTCACTGAAACTAAATGCAAGTTCACAGTCCATAGTTAGAACGACTCCCCATTCCCGTCATCGTAGCAATATCCCCCTCGTAGTCGCTATCTGGCTATAGTAGAAGGTGTTTAAAAATCCTACTCAATATGCGCGACCCTCCTGTTGATCTGTAGTGATTTGCGCAGCTCAGGTCGAGGCCTCTCACTGAAGTAGAGATGACGGCCAGAGTCTGGCAGTGGCCGCCCATACATGAAAGAGGCGACCACCTCGAAATTGCGAAGGTGCGGGGAATTAGCGACTTTGTAGAAAAGAACAGCGCAAAAGGTGCAGTCCAGCCGACGCTACGCAAAAGCATCAAATCGCGCTAGCATGAGTAAGCTGCGATCTGATAGATTCTCAAGAGTGAGACACTTGCGGCATTGGCCAAGTTATCAAAAGGCCAGGCTATCGGCCACTTCACAGTCGGTGACAGGCAAGAGGCTTGGCCTGGGGTGTCCTTGGCATTTAAGCTACAGCGCACACATCCAAGGCCGCGGCCCCCATGATTCAAAGAGAACGGCGGATGTGTAAGTTGTGAAGCTGTTTTTTCCCGATAGATTTGCCAATGCACTTTTGGGATACTGCGATGGAATCCATGCGGCCAGCTGGCACGCAGCTCACAAATCAGTGGAATGAATGTGCCAGCATGCCTGTGGAGCTTTGACAGTGTACAAGTTCCAGACAACCAGTGCTAGTAGGCCAGCGATTCGGTAGCGTGCGTGCGCCTGGCTCTTTGGCTCAGCCTTCAGCGTGGGAGACATCTGAGCCAAAGCGAATAAACCCCGGGTGATTACGGCAGTTTCCTTCTCCCAATCAAAGCAACTACTTAGCCTGGAAAGCTCCTTCTGGTCATTGAGCCGTTGACCCGGCTTACCCACTGCCCCCTTCCTCTTTGTGGCTGCACGAAGCAAGTTCTGGGACAACGCTGGTCTCGCACTCCGCACTGTACGAAGCTCGCAGGAGCGGAACGTTATCCCTATGCATTAGTAGGACCAAGCATGAAGTCCCAAGAAGGCGATCAAACTCGCCTTCCACGATGATCATCCGATGCCATCTCCGTCTTATGGCGAAATGTCCGAAGGCAGTTCTGCATCCAGAGACTCGGTTACCGAGCCAGTGCCATCCTCAAGAGCCTCAGCTCAAGCTCCAAAAACCCTGTTTTATTTATTAGGGCCTCTATATTATAGTACCCTTGTAGCTCCTTTATAGTAACCCTTATAGACCCCTTTAAAGGAACCCCCCCCCTCTCTCTGGCGTTTGCCACTGAGCGTCGCGTGTCAGGGCCGCCACGAAGGCCTCCGGATCCTCGAATAACTGAAACTGACGGTGAGCAAAGCTCGAGATCAGTCTCCGAAACACAGACGGGAGCTTCCAAAAAGAGGGGACCCCTAGTATTACTAGTATACCACCCTAAATAGTAGGATCCTGTTTATGAGCACCCCAAAATACGGTAGCCCGCATTTTCGGAAACTCCCAGATCACACAATCAGAGAGCGGCCTGGGCCTTGAGATCATCCTCAGCTCTACTTGAAGGATCATGGGACTTGTAACTAAGGTTATTATTAGGGTAACTATACTTATAACTACTTATAACCCCAATTAAGGTACTTATAACCATACTTACTAAGTCCCATGATCCTCCAAGTAATCCCTAAACCCTAAACCCTATAGATCCCTTGAAGGAACCCTATAGATCCCTTTAAGGAGCCCTTAAAGGGTAAACCCTAAACGTAAACTACAGCTTGGGAGCTTCCTGCCTGGAGTCGAGAGTCGAGCGAAGCTCGCGCAAGGGAAAAGGAACAACCGAGCAATCCCGTGCAATCATTCATATCATTGCTGTTATTACCAGGATTGTCATGATGATTATTATTTCTAGTTTGTTTTATGATTTCTTATTATTTCTACTAATATTACGATTATTGTTCTGCTGGATTTTCCAGATCGGCTCGGGCCTGAGCCAGTTCAGCCGCCGGGTGCGGGCCAGGCCCCGGGGCGACGGAGCGCGTCGTCAGCGCCCCCGCTGCAGCATCGGCTTCCTCCGCGGCCTCAGACAGCGCAAGCTTTGTCAACAAAATACTAGTAAGAATATGTAAGAATGATAGCAAGAATAGTAACAATGATAAGAATGATAATAATCATAATGACAATAGTACTCAGAAGTATCATAACAGAAAAAAACATAATGAGTCCATAAGCCCTTAGACCTCCAACCACATCCCTTGCCGGCAAGCGTCGACATCTGCCCGATCTCCGCGAGCCTTCAGGCGGGCCAAGCGTGCAGCTTCCACGAGGACGTTCAGGCAGCGACCGAAATACTTCGCATCGCTTTGAGAGAGGAAGATGAACTCGCAGAACCGGTCATCTTCCAGTTCCAGACCTTGGGTCAAAGCACTTCGGGCATCCTACTTGGAGGTTCATGGGTAGGTTATACGTAGGGTTTTAAGTAGGGTAACTATACTATACTTATAACCCATATTAGGGGACTTATAGCCCTACTTATAACTACCCTCATTGAACCTCCAAGTAAGTTTGTCAATTCGGGATTCGCAGTTTGGCGCTGCCAGAGCACGGACTGCCCAGAAGGGGTCGCTTGATGCCTCCAGCTGCTCAAGCCTCCGGTAGGGGCCAGAGTTCTTGTACCTTAGCCGCCCTTAGGATCAAAACAGAAATCACATGGTTCATATTCTCTTCGTCTTTAGATGAACAGAAACACAAAATTTCCAAGAAGACTTTAGGTACACGGAGACATGCTGCACGCCCCCAAGGCGTATGGTCTTCTCTACGCCGTTGAAGACCAGCGTCAAAGTCTCCCAGGGCTGGTCCAGCTTGGCGTCCACATCGAGGCCAATTCCATCCAAGCTCAGGATGAGGCGAACGCCACTATTCATCTGCTCAACGAAGACCTGCAGAGGCAGACTCATTCAACGACATCTGCGAAGGCTTCCCTGGCACTGTGAATGACGGTGATGGACCATCTTATGAACCATAATTCTTTGGACCTTGCACAGACTATAGAAGCTATCACCCCCGCACCTGCATGGTTGGAAGAGAGTCGTCCTCCATCCCTGCATCCTCAGCAGAACAGAAACTAAGTGACGGTATGTTTCAGCAATGACCTGCACCGGAGTGCAGCAGGCTTACTTACAGGCAACAGTCTGGCGGCGCGGCGTAGAAGTGCAGCATTTAACGTGAGCATCCATGAAAGCTCCATGTCAAGTCAGTCTTTGAGTCTGGACTACACACCACAGATGAGCACTAGGGCTTGCAGTCAAGATGGAAGCCCGCATCCAAAGCAACCACTGAGAAGTTCCTTTCCAGAGCCCACAAGTGCTTGCCAACAAGCGGTGGCAAAGACTGTGGGAGTCCGTCGCTGAGCTTCCTCAATGAAGGAAAGGCCCAGAGCAAGCAGTAAAGCCAAGGATTAGGAAATTCATAGCCACTCACAAAGGCAAAGGCTTGCCGAGGAGGGAGTGACAAGAACCGGACAACCTCAAGAACACACAGAGAACACCGGAAGAGCGCTTCAATGGCGGCACCAAAGAACCGAAAAAGCCCTTGGACCGGAATGCTAAGCAGCTGATACAACCACAATGATGGTTTTGCACACGGTCACCGGAGCACAGCGTCTACCGAGCATGACAGTAACTTTAGTCTGCCTGGCGTCCGGTGCTCCAGATGAGCTAGAGGCAGTTGTGGAACACCGCAAGAGCTGAGACACGCATTGAGTGCCTTGTCAGCACATGTCGCATGACGAGGTGCTCCTTTGCATGGTCTTTGTTAGTGGCTTCCATGAGTTTCAGGCACAGCCTTCCCCTCCACCGTCCACTGGCAGACGCGGCGGGCATCGGCAGTTTGGGAAGGGGCTTGTCTGGCCCATGGCATCCTTCAAGTGAGACTGTTTAGCCTACCCGCTGTAGCCGTGCGCTGGCTCGTGCTGCTTGTAGCCGGACCTCCTGTCCCGGAGTCCCACGGCCGTGGATCACAGACACTACGAGTTTAAAGTACTAGTCCAGGCACGCACATTCTCGGAGTTCCAGTAGATAACTCACCAACACAGGAGCGCTCCACCTGTCTGCTCAGCTGCGGCTTCGGGCAAGTGGCTACCGGCCCGCAATGCTCGACCCACAGGTGCGGCTGCATTGCCGTTTCGCCAACATATAGCAAAATCTGCCGGAATCCAACTGTCTCTGTCTTACCAGTCTTTTCTGTTGGGAGACCCTTGTGCGCTTTGCACTTTGCGCCAGGCAACACCTGGCGTGTGCTGGGCTGCAGAGCCTTTAAAGTTTCCTGACAAGCTATGCCAGCCGCAGTAGACTGCGGTACCACTGCTAGCGTCGCCAATACTGATCTTTCAGACCGGCGACGCGTGACCGCGACAGGATGTTAAAAGACTTCTGCCGAGTGGAGCATCTTGGCAATGGCACACTGCGAAGGCGGCACGGCAGAATGACCACAAATCAGCAAAATGTATAGGAATTCGTTTACATTGGACAGACCCAGCCTGCAGCCCGACGTCAGTGTGTTCAGGTTCTGTGATATGCAACTCAAATTCGTGTCCGTGGCCCCTAAAAGGAACCATCATGACAAGATTTAAATCCTCGCAAAAGACAGCTCCTCCCCTCCAGATATGGAAGGGCGAGCTGGATGCTCAATGCTCCATGGGTCCCTCTTAAAGATCACCCACTTCTGCGACTACTCCGGCTCATCTTCAGAGGGAGCTTCATCATCGGTTTGCTCGTCTGCTTCCGACTGTGTCTTCCTCGAGTCCTGCCAGGTGTGGAGGGTGGAAATCGGCCGCAAAAAACTTAGCCATCCGTGAGGAAGCGGACTTCGAGAGCCTGCAGTCATGGGCAAGTGTCCTGCCGGCCCTCAGGATAGAGCTGCTTGAACTTCGGTGTCGGTGCCAACTCTCCTCATTGAGGCACCACTCATGTCATTTCTCGTTCCAAAACGCTCAGATCCCGTCTTAAGGGTTTTGAGGGCCTGGGGCCTGGTCACATTTCTTCGAGGCTTTTGTCTCAGCCTAGGCTTTATTCTGACAGGTTGCCTAGCGCAAGCCGCCAGAGGCGTTGAGAATGACTGTGTGATACTCCGATACTCCTTCATGCTTTTGGGGGTTAGCACCGGGGTCCTTACCCTCAACCCTAAACCTTAAACCCGAAATCCCGGAAAGCCTCCAGAATGCCAGGTCACCCTGGTTGGAGCGACTCAGGAGATCGCCGTCGGTGTGCACCGTCCCCACATCTGCGAAAGAAGGGATCATGTCTCCGGAATTTCCTTAGAAGGCTCGCAGGTGATCTCTTGCATGTGCAATCTCTCCATTCAGTCGAAAGTCCTGTTGAAAGCGCCGTCCTATTCAATACTGCGACTTGTCTCGAGCCGTCTAGCCCAGAACGGAAAAGAGAAACCACTCCGAGGTGTTTGACAAGATGACAGAGCCCAACCTAGAGCAAAGCTCGTCAGGGGCCAGGTGTCGGTGAACTCGCCGTGCTTGCCTGCTATCCTCTTCTGACCTAAGCGACACCGGCCAAGCAGCTCCACCATGCTGTTCTTTCGGGCTCGAAACAATTATTCCTCTGACTTCTCTGAATATTTTGCCGCCTTTTTCTGATTTTCGTGGTGTTTCGTTGCTGCTCTCGTGGTCCTGAGCTACAAGTACTGGTTTTTCTGAGGCCGACACCGCTCTGACTCCGAGGCAGAGTCTGTCTCCTCCTCCTCAGCACCTGAGCTGCACCGAGGTGTCAATAGGGGAGTTTCCGAGAATTCATCAGGGTGCGTTATTTTCGGGCCCCTATAATGAGGATCCTACTATTTAGGGTTTTAGATTAGGGTCCACTATTTTCGGAAAGGGCAGATGCTCAACGGGTCCCAGCTCTTCCGGAACAACGCGACCGCGTCACCGATATCGCCAGAAGCCCAGGACTCGGCCTCAGAGTGGATTCGGGTGTTTCAGAATGGGGGACCCGAATATAGTAATATAGCACCCGAAATGGCAGGATCCTTAATCTAAGCATCCCAAAATAAGGTATCCCTATTTTCGGAGACTCCCATTTGGCTGTGTGCCATGCTGGCGCTCAAGTGCTGTTTCTTCATCTCAGCTTTTGACCCTCACTCAATGTGGACAAGACTTTGCGGACACACGGTAAGCTCCAGCAAGTGCTTCATGACTTTTTCTGTGTGAGCATGTGTGAAGTGGATTCGTTGCCGTCGAGTGGCGGTGCGGGTCTCTAGCCACTCCTCCTTGGCCACAACTCTTCGGACGCCCGTCGCAGTGTTGGCAAAGGTCACCCAACCGTCCTCCAGAGCGCACTAAAGAACCTCGCCTAAAGAAAGTGTGTACTGGTTAACTTCGCGTGGGCCATCTTCAGAGAGTGCAACCAGTCATCGTTCAGAGGTTCGGCGTGTGCCGGCATCACAAGTACCAGCAACAGCATACTACAGCGCGCTGCCCAGTTCTGCTGTACCCGAGACTGGGCTCTACTACATGCCGGATGGACTGACTGTCACTATTCAACAAACCCCCACTGCCCGGCGGTCCGGCTGATGGAGACGAGCTCGCCTGAGCTCTGATGAAAGCATAACCGCATTGACCGCAAGGTAGAGAACAGCATTGTTACAACACACTTTCGGTAACCAGCGTGTAAAAGTGCCATCATACTGGGACCTATTGCAGGTCGGGAAAATGCCGCATATCCCAGAGGTAGACAGCCTCAACGTTCCATCACTCGGTCCAACATGCACCGCACCACCCAAACCACGACTGAGCCAAGCCTTCAAGGGAACCCTTACAGGATCCCTTAAAGGAGCCCGTAAAGGGAACCCTTATAGATCCCTTAAAGGAACCCTTAAAGGGATCTTCTGAGCTCGGAACACTCGTTTCTCTTCCTTCAGCTCCACGATTTCCACCGCGCGAACCTCTTGGCCTGCGACGACCCGACCATGCGCCCAGGGAGGCTTGGACCCTCTCAAAGGGAAAAAGGAGCAACCCTTCATAAGGACCCCTAGGTCTAGAAGCTTAATATAGCTATTATTATATACCCATTAAATGGTCCATTATAGGGTAGGGGTCCCCATTAAGGGTCCCTCCTTTTGCCCTTGCTTGCACTCTGGGAAGTTCGCCTTCCTCGAGCTCCTCGACGACCTCATCGTCATCCTGCTCCAGGCTCAAGGTTCAGGGCGTTTGAATGTCTCACAGCCTGATTTCGTAAGTCTTAGTGTTAGTTAGTCACAGTGGATTGCTTCCTGGGGTCTGGGCTCGTCACCTCGCTGCTCGGGATGCGTGTCGCCATACACACAGCTCCACCGATCTCTATGGACGAAGTTGCAGAATGTACTTGGAGGTTCAGGGGTAGTTATAAGTAGGGTTACAAGTCCCCTACCATGGGTTATAAGTGTAATTATCCTAATTGTAACTGTACTTATAACGACCCATGAACCTCCAAGTAGGAACCCACGTACGCAGCTAAGCTGCAGGATCAAAGGTCTTTGCATCGCGGGCAACGAAAGCCGGGCGCAGCAAGATGTACCTTATGCAGCTGCTAGCTCCATCGCAAGTCCAGTAACATACATGCCGATAAATTGGTCTCGAGACAGTTTCACGATCGTTTGAACAGCTCCAGCCTTGCTGTTTGGTTTGCTATACCAAACCTTATGCCCCCGATTCCACACCTAGATGGCAAGAAGCAGCCGGCAGACCACAGACGGAAACAAGGGCTTCAAGAATTTTCAAGTGCAGAGTGAACTTGCTCTCAAGATGCTCTCCCACGTCATAGGCCATCCTCTGCCGCCTGCAGACATTGACATCAGCAAAGAACTACAGCGAGTTCCGGGATCCCTTGCAGTGCCTGGGCCGCGGATTTCCGTCCTCATCTTCCGAATAGGAGTAGTCATCGTCAGATTCACCTTCTTCGGTGCTGCGGGGCAGGCCGAGTCCAGAATCTGAGGCTTTTGTTGAGCTGCAGCTTCGCTAAGCATACCACCGAGAATGGTAATAAGAGAACCTATTTAACTAGCCTGTGGAGTAGGCTAACTCCTCGCATGCTGGAGCTCCAAGTAACAAAGCAATCAAAAGGCAAGATAACTTGCGCACACACACATACATACATACATGCATACATACATACCCACCTACATACAGACATACATAGATACAAACAGACAAGCTATGCTTCACAAGCTTGTGTGCATCCGCACGGACTAACTTTTTGTCCACTCTTCCCTTCCGGATAGTGGCGAACTAAGTCCTCGGTCGTAAGCTCACTGCGACCTCGAACTGCAAAGTTCCGAAACGAAAAGGCTTCACAGGAGGCGCAACGAACTAACCGGACTGTAACTCCGGGTGGGAGAGGTGGGAAAAGCGAAAAAGCGCTAGCTCGTACTGTAGGCTCGGGCCTCGTTCTGCGACCGCGGCACGAACTGTTCTCTACAGTACTCGCTACGCTTGTCACTACGAACACACGTGTTCTGCACGACAAGCTATGCTTCACAAGCTTGTGTGCATCCGCACGGACTAACTTTTTGTCCACTCTTCCCTTCCGGATAGTGGCGAACTAAGTCCTCGGTCGTAAGCTCACTGCGACCTCGAACTGCAAAGTTCCGAAACGAAAAGGCTTCACAGGAGGCGTAACGAACTAACCACCTCAAGCGCACCGTGAAGCCACCCTCGTGCGCTTTAGCGAAGTTGGGTTGCTAGAATTGCGACCAGCTGAGCGAACTCTTCTTGGTAGCTTCTGCAGTCGTCTTGGAAACGCTCCAGCAGCGGCCACACTTCCTTGAAGGAGACTTCGTAGAACTCGCCCTCGGCGGCCTGAAGGTCTCCGAGATCGCCCCTGGAAATCCCATCGGAGATGTTCTCTTCACTGGAGACTCTATGAAAGGAGACTGAAAGCGACCTAGAAGCGGCCCAAACCCAAAAAGCTCCGATGATAGCCGAGAGTCTCAGGTCCTTGGAGTATCCTTTGTTGAGCGCGTGCTCGGCCGCCGTATTATCGACCCAACAGCACAAGTGGGTATCGACCAGGTTGCAAACGACGGCCAGCGACACCAGCTGAGCCAATGCCTCCAACCAAAATATATACGCCCTGGAGGTGGCTAGGCTGGCTAGCACGGCAGAGGGTATTTCGCCACGAAACCCTAGCGGGTGGCGACCTTGCACGAACACAATCGCCCCGAAGCCGTTCGTGGCTGTGTTAAGCTCCTGTGCCGGTGGGAGTTCTGGCAGCCACTTGTTAGCTACACGGCGAACCCCGTGGACTGTCAGGAAGGCATCGGCATACAAATGCGCGACCGGTCGTCTGCGCTCACTGGCACCTATAGCGAAACGTCTCGGCTGCAACCTTGGCAACAAGTCGCTCAGCTGATGCAGTGCTTGCTGCTGCCTGGGAGTCAACGGACTCGAGCCAGGCGACCCGTTATGCTGTCTCTGGTACAAAGGTTGGAGTAGCATACGGCCTACATGGTTGAAAACCCATGTACATGTAAAGCACAGCTTGCCTGTGAGCTGCGAACATTCGGAGGATGACATGCGGCCGCTCGCAAGAAACTCCTGGATCGTAGCGACCAGCTTCGCCACTCTGCGCGTCCCGGGCGAAGCGAAAATAGCCTCGGTGGTCAACGTCCATTCTATGCCCAAGAGTGTCTGAGCGAACCAGGGTTCTTTCGATTTCTCCTCCTTCATGCGGAATCCCAGGACTCGATGAAATGCTTGGAAAACAGCGAACCCGGAAAGTGCTGTCTGGGATCGCTCTAGGGAGAAAAAAGTCATCGACGTAGTGAGCCGCGAACATCAGTAGCAACGTTACGGTAAGGAACGATACTACGTCTGCGACCCGAAGGTATGCCCAAACGGAGCCCACGGACCCGAAGGGGAGGGCGTTGTGGGTCCACAGGCTGGGCGGCTTTCCTGGCATCACCAGTCCGCACTCTGTAGGCTCGCGAACCGGTAGAGACCTGTAAGCACCTTCATGGTCAATGGCGCCCAGGAGCACCGGCTCTTCGAAAGTCTCTGAGCACTGCAACACTCCGCCCACAACTGTAGGGCCACCGAGGTACGGCGGTGTATCGACCGCTGAGATGGTACTATTGTGAAACGACCGAAGCCAGTCGTCTGCTCTGCGAACCTTGTCGTTCTGTACCACGGCAAAACCCCTAGCAACCTGAACTGAAGCTGGCTCTTGCTGGTCACCTAAGAGCGACAGGGGAAGAGGACCTTGCACGCGACCTAGGCTTCGTTCCTTCTGCAGCTCAGCCATCATCGACTCGTGATGTTCGGGCTGAGGGGAGGTCTGGCGTAGGGTCAGGGCCAGTTGTCTGTTGGCGGACAGGAAATCCTGCTTTGCAAGGGGACGAGCGTACTTGGCATCGTCCCGGTTAAGCCAGCCGGAGCCGCGAACCATGGGTCCTAGTAACCTAAAACCCCAAAACAACTCGGATAGAAGCTCCTTGCGACCTGGGAACTGGCACAATTCCAGAAGCCATGCGAGAGGCAAAAGCTGAAACTTCAGTTGTGGCGAACCTTGCTGGTAGACTGAGGCCACGTGCGCCGGAAGGGCTTGCAGTGCTTCTGCTTGGTCCTCGTGCAGCTCTGCGACCAAGTCTTGCAGGTCCTGTAGGACAGCTTGGCGAACTTGTACGACCTTGAGACCTAACCTTGCTTGCACCTGAAATGTCCACGACAGGCAGGGGTTGAGCGGTGCAGGGAACACATCTGCGAACGTGAGCTGCTTGGCCCATAGAAAATGTGCGCTTGCACCTGCGCCTGGTGACCGGAAGGGAGGAACGTAGCCACCACGAAGCGACCCTTTGGAGAGGGCGGCTACCATCGGGGTGCCATCGGACCTGAAAACAAGGGTCCGGTACGCTGGGGTACCACTCTTCAACACGAACCGGGTGTGCGTCCATGACTCCTGCTTGGCACAAGATCAGCAGCACGAGAAGTCTGGCGACCCCCGCGTGCCAGGCGTTACCCAGCAACTTTGCTCTCGCATGGGGCGAAACTGAGGCTGTGTAACCGCTTGGCAGGAGCTGTAGCCACTCACGAGTGGCAGGGTCGGGGAGGTCTTTCTTGCCCGCGACCTGAACCAAGGCGTGCGTACGAAACTGCCAAGGTGGGTAGGAGCGGTTGGCTGCTTTCCAGCGTTCCATTGTACCCGGGCTCTCGGAACGGCGCTTCTTGCCTGGAGGTTCACGACCCTGTGTGCTCTCAGCTGGTGTCGTGAGACACGGAAACCTTATCCGCCCTGAAGTGACCTCTTCACTAAAGGTTGCGAACGGGCAGGACTGCGCAACCTGTCGGGGAAACAGGGTGCTGTTGGGTATGAGCTCCCAATGTCTGTTCAGGCGGCGCCAGCGTGCTTGACCTCCCAACGCGACCGGAGGTTCGCGAACATTCTCCGGGGGAGGGGAAACCATGTTCGACCACCAAAGTCTCGGTCGTGACACGACGCCCCAACAGGACGCGTCGCATGCGAATGCGCGGCAGCCCAGAGCCTTGTCAAGCTCTTGCTGCTGGGAAGCGGACATGTGCACGTTCTCTACCAAAAACAGAACCCTAAAATTCGAAGCCTGAACGAACTCCAGGAGCCAGGCAGCGAACTGAGTGAACTTAGAGCCCTCCTTTCCTTGTGTACCTGGAGGATCGCTGCGCATCCTGGAGAAATCATGGCAAGGAGGGGCAGCGAACAGTAGGAGCACCGTGTCCTTGGGCACTGACGCGGCGAGCGCTGCGAGAACCTCGTGAGGCTTGCGGCCGAACGCATCGCCGTGATGAATCATCTCGGGGTGTTGCGAGGAGGCGACCTTGATGGCATCAGGGTCTAGCTCCCAGGACCAAGACAGGACCGGTCTTATGGCCCAGCTCTTGACCGCGTGGAGAGCGGTGGCTATGCCGTCGAAGAAGCTGAGAACTGCGACCGGGAAGCGAGGTTGTTGTGCATGAGGTGTTGGTGTAGTGGCCTGACTCCCAGGGATTGTGGTCGGCGGAGCCACGTGAGGCTGCAACGCCTGATGGGGTATGTTGAGACGCGGAGCCACGAGAGGCTGCGACGCGTGATGCGAGGATTGATGGGGCGGAGTCACGTGAGACGTCAACGCCTGTGCTGCTGGGTTAGGGGTGAGTACGACTGGTATGCGTGCTCCCTGTGACGACTCAGCTGTTGCCGTGTCGTTGACGCGGACTGGCACGGGAGGGGGGGGTGGAAAAGGCGGTTTGGCTCGTGGCGGAGCCGACAGAGGCTCGGACGCCGGGGCCTTGCGCTGCACTCTTGCTGTATCCTTCTGGGACGTTGGCCGTTGTGCCATGGTTGGGACCTGGTTGCTGCAACGACTCGGCACCTGCGAACCTAACCTGTTACCAGGGATTAAGGGTCCGGGCGCCAAAGGCGGAGCACACGGGGCAAGGCTTAGGGTCTTAGGGGGGGAAAAGGCTGGACTACCGTCTTTGCTCATTGCGGGTGTCGCCCCCGACGGCTGAGGCGGTCCGAGCTGTCCCTAGGCGGACGGGGGAGGGGGGACGGCCCCTTGATGCTGGGTAGGGTTGCCGTGCGCAAATTTGCAGCTTGCACCGAACCTGCAGTAACCTGCTGCGAACAACCTACACTGGGGAGCTGCCTGCGCGAATGTATGACCCGACCGAAGAGCCATTGCCATCTCCCAGCTTGCATTGTCGCGGGTGAGGTCTTCCCAAAACGCGAAGTAGTCGCAGACCTCAGCGTTCGGTCCCCAGCGAGCAAACATAAAGGCGAACTTGCAGGCCTCGAACGCATCCAGCATCGTAACCATGCGTTGAGGCTCGGGTATAACCCGAGAAACCTTGGAGAGGGTGCCGTCCTCTGCCGCGAACAACTTGGTTGAGGTCTCCGGCTTAGTCGTCGAAGAGAACGGGTTCACCTGACGGGAGGAAGTGA